AAATACAAACGATAAATAATTTCTTTAATTTTAGATTAATGATGTATATTTAAGTTCGATGTTGCTTAAATTTCATGTAAGTATCTCGTCAGAATTTTAAGCAAAGTGTCAAGGAAATGATGTACCCTCAAAATGAAAATTCACACAATAAAATCTCGATGGAGTAAGACCAACTACTCGCTCTAATTACTACTAAACAATCTTTATTATTACCTAACCTACTATATAAATTATAATTAGGCATTTTAAACTGTTTCACGGTTTACTTTATGTTTTTGCGTGATCATGAAACAGTGAACTGTTGACCGGTCCACAGAATGAACTGTTGACTGTTTAAAGCGTCATCGTGATATTCAAGCATTTTGATGATCACGACGTCACTATTTACCTGCTCTATAATTAATCAAATTTAAATAAAACACACAAACAATCCATTTAAGTATAACTTTAAATTAAAAATATTAATTTAATCTTTCTATTATGTGTTCAGCTAATTAATAGACAAGTATGTGAATAAACAGTTATGAAAACGTTTTATTGATTGTTTGTGTGTTTTTATTCCAATTTAATCAATTATATAGTAGGTTAGGTAATAAAATACTTATTCAATGACTACTCGGTGAAACAGTCAAACTGATGTCCCTCGGTAGTGGGGGAGACCTGGGAAACTGTTGCCCTCGGCCTTCGGCCTCGGGCAACAGTTTCCCAGGTCTCCCCCACTACCTCGGGACAACAATTTGACTGTTTACCTCGTAGTCATTAAATAAGTGTATATTGTACCCCTCAATAGGAGACAGGCCCATCTGCTGCCATACCTACATGTACTGCATAAATCTTTCCAAACCATTGAAATTGTGATGAAAGGGGGGGGGGCTTTCACATTTCTTTTTAAATCCGAAATGTGTTCAATGGGATTCAGATCCGGAAATTTGACGGTACATCGTCACAAAATGCCTCTTGGTCAATATCCTTGGGTGTTTAGCACGTAAGTGCGCCACTTTTAGGATAATTCAGACTGTTTGAGCTGACATAAGACTACTACGAGCACCGATTTCTTTTCATTTTCGTACGATTGAAATGGTTTGTTTCCATGTTTCTAAGATTTTTTCAGAACACTTTAATACTCTTTTAACCTGTTGTGACGCGAAATTTTCTCCTCAGAACGGGATCAAGGTCACTTCCGGTTTGATTAAATGTTGTCAAAAACTTTCAGATTGTGATAGGTTGGTGATGAAAAATGAGCATAGCCTATAGAAAACTGTGTTTAAGTGGGTTTTGATACTGTTTGATAAATTTTTAAAGTTAAATCAAGTATAATTAAGCACTAAAATAAAAGTGAGTAAAACGTGGTGCAAAGATGGTCCAGATATCAACATTCCACCGTCTCTCCCTTTTATCGCAATGGTCATTTTGCAATTGTTTTGTGTTTTTCAGTGAAAGCAGTTTTAAAAATTTGATAATGATCACAAAAAGATGCTTATTAAACAAAACACGTGCCGCAAAGTACAGATTTATTGTTTTTAAGCTTCGTAACGGAACATTGGTTTTCATCTGTGATATTGAATTTTTTTTCTAAAATTTTTGAGAAGACTCATTTTTTGTAATAATTTGAAAAATATCATACCATTCTACTAAGTAGTTTTTGAATAAATGCATTTATTAAAGTGAACACTTAGAAGTTTTGTTAAGTGTACATAAAGGTATTAACAAACCAAAAGCAGACTCTAATAGTTATAGACCAGTATCACTTTTATGTACAATTTTTAAAGTGTTTGAAAAATTCATTCATGATCGAATACAATCATTTATTTTGTGTCATGAGCATTTTCCTAATGCTCATCAGCAAGGGTCCCAAAAAAGTTTAAGTTGTACTACAGCATCATTTGTATGACAAGAAACCATATACTACAATATGGAAAACAAAAGCGATGTATATTCTGCATTTTTAGACATTACCAAAGCTTTTGACTCCTTGTGGAGAGAAGGTTTGATGGTTAAGTTGAATAAATTTGGGATTATGGGCAAATTATGGTCTGTCATTGATGATTGTCATATAGATACACATAGTGCTACTGCTATTGTTGTTAATGGATGCATGTCAAAATGGTTTAATGTTGAACAAGGTGTACGACAAGGGGGGGTTATCAGGCTTTTTGTATTCAGTTTTGATAAATGACTTGCTCATTGAACTTAATAATGCCAGTAAAAATATGGGTATTTTAAACACCAAAATTTCAAACCCAACCCTTGCAGATGACATAGCTTTGTTATCATAATAAGTTTGACCCCAGCAGGTCTCCAAATATTACTTACTGCTGCCTATGATTACTCATGTAAATGGCGTTTTCATTTAATTGCTGAAAAATCAAATGTTGTAATATTAAGAGACAATAACAAAAACGTATTTAGTAATAATACATGGCATGTTGGTGACAAGGTCATACCAATTTCGACAAATTACATCCATCTTGGCGTACAACAGACATCAAACCTTCGAGCTTTACCGAACACAATCCGCTCATGTGAAAAAGGAAGGAAATCCTACTTTGAAATAAAAGCAAATATGCTTAAGAAGCCTCATCCCAGGACGTTAGTTAGTATTTATAAGACAGTCGTATTAACTTCAGTATTATTTGGCTGTGAGTTATGGAACGACTTAAAAACAAACGATTTGAACATTCTAAATAGATTTCAACATTTTATTGTCAAAGACATATAAAATTTACACAAATCAACAAGAACGGCTGTTTGCGAGAGAATGCTCGGATTACAACCAATACAAGCTGAAATTGATAAAAGAAAATTATATTTTTTTGGAAAAAAAATTCTGCTGCATGGATAGTAATCTCCTTCCGAAACAAGTCTTTACGAATGTTCGAGTATCTTAACCATAACCATAATATATATATCAAAATTCGGTTTTGTCAAAGATCTTATCCACATTATCCAGAAATACTCCTTAGAAAGATTTCCTCATACATACATAAGTAATACCAGTTTTCCGTCCAAAAATATTTGGAAGAATATCGTAAAACATGCTATTAATTCTCACTACAATTCTTCATGGAAAGACGTTATTTACTCCGATCCAGATTTCACGGACTTCAAGTTTCTCCATACATCTGTGCATCTGGCTTCACTCTGGGCATATCCACTTTCAGCAAAGGAAATGCAAGTGGTTAAGTTCATTGCGAATCTATGAACTCTTGTACCAAAAATGACATATACCAGTGCATAATCTGCTCGAATCCCTTTACAAACAGTTTCCAACATGCCAAAGCGTTGTGTTCTATAACATCTAATGAAAGATCTGAATTTATGTTTGAATTATCAGACGAATACAGCAATGTTTACATAGATTTTGTTAGTTTAAATGAGTACGATTTTTACTTATCTGTTCTTAGGGGTACCCATGACCAAGTATTAGACAAAAAGAAGTTTATGTTAAAATGTTTTTCATTTATAGTTCCTAGTATAGCCACATACAACGACAATGTGTATGAAACACAAACATGAGGTCGTTCTTTTTATGTTTGCATACAGCGAATACAAACAAACAAACTGTATATACTTGTTCTATACATACACACACACACACACACACACACACATATATATATATATATATATATATATATATATATATATATATATATATATATATATATATATATAGTTGAAAATAGTTCACAGTCGATGTCACACAGGTGAAAATAATCATAAAAGAAAAGGAAAATGAAGTTTCCAAATTTCATTTAACACTTATATATATATATATGTCTAACGCGCTGTTCCTGCACTGCTAGGAGACAGATTCCGTAGGTCGAGAGTTCAACCCCGGGCTGGGGCGGAAGTGAGTATCCTTGTAAAAGTGAATTTCTCTGTGCTTTCTATATTAATATTTCTTCACTTAGGGCAGTTATATTAGTTTAAGAGTTGTTGTAATTTGTGCTTTATAAATAAAATTAATATCATCACAACATGTATTGGTAACGATCCTCTAAAAACTAATGTCCAAATAACTGTATCTCACTTCCATTCTCAATGACTGTGTAGTGAAGGGCAGCGCTGTGAGAATTCCATCGGCATCGAAAGCAAGTTTTTTAACTTGCCTAGATAGCCGAGCGGTCTAACGCGCTGTTCCTGCACTGCTAGGAGACAGATTCCGTAGGTCGAGAGTCCAATCCCGGGCTGGGGCGGAAGTGAGTATCCTTGTAAAAGTGAATTTCTCTGTGCTTTCTATATTAATATTTCTTCACTTAGGGCAGTTATATTAGTTTAAGAGTTGTTGTAATTTGTGCTTTATAAATAAAATTAATATCATCACAACATGTATTGGTAACGATCCTCTAACACTGCGTGAAAAAATAGCTTTACAAAGCCAGTAAAGATAATGTAAATTTAAAATTTACATTATCTTTAAATGACTTTACTGAAAAAAGTCAAAGTTCTAAAAGGTGACCTTTACTACATCTTTACTTTACTTAAATATAATGTAATGTCCCACTTTTTCTTGGCTTTACAAAGAAGTAAATTTGATATTTAATTGCATTAAATATATTATTTTGTTTGCAGTAAAATAAAAGTTTAAGTATATTAGTGGCAGTAAATTTAACATTTCATGGCATAAAATATTGTATTTTGTTCGCATAAAACTTAAAGTTTACCAATTGTAAACATATTGTATATTTCAATCACCTTTACTTAAACAAAATGTAATTTTTACATATATTAAAGTTAATCTTTCCTCTGCACAAATTATTTCATAGTGTTATATATTAAACCATATAGCCTATTGTCTTCATCAGCAGTCCAATAGACAAAATATAACAATAAACAGTGTATCAGGTTATTATTTTTTTTTATTACAAATATTTAAGTACTGTAAAATAAAAGGTAGAAAGTTTCAAAACACATGTAAAAAATGATTTGTAGACAAAATCCAGCAGTCAAAGCATGGCCTAACAATCAAACCAAGAAAGTACTACAAGTGTAATAGTTTATTTGAAAACCCAGTTGAATTCTTCGTCGTGTTCTGGTGCTTCTTGTTCTTTGGTGGAACCTGCTGTTCGTTTTTGTACTAGTCTTTTGCTCCTTGGTGGACATGTTTCCAAGTATTTTTTATCCAAACTGTCCTTGACATGTTTCCATGTCTCACTTTCCCAAGAATATGGGTGTGAGATAAAGCCATCCGCTGCCTCTTCATCACTGGACATGTACTTGTATGACTGTTTATGGCTTAAAAATTTTTTCACTGATGCTCTCTTATCTTCTGGCCAATTCTTCTTTCTGTCTGTGGCAACCAATCTTCGTCTTAATTTCTGAGGATTATAACAAATATAATTTTAAATTCAAGGCAGAACAAATAAATTATGTTACTGTTAGTAATATTTTAAGATTTTTAAAGTATTTTAAGTTTTTCTATACATATCTATCAAAATGTAATTTTTCCCACAAAATGATGTGTCCTTTATTACAAAAAATACATATGGTTTAATATTAGAGGGGTCAAGATTTAGTAATTGAGCTGATCGTAGGGGCCTACAATGCATAAAACCTATCACTGGATATCTGTTACAGGAATGTCAATACTTAGTCTTGCTTAGAAAAAAAAGTTTGTATTAAAATCAATGAATTAAAATTCTAAAATAGTGGGATAAGTAGAACAAGTAAATGTTAATTAAAAAATTGCTGTTGTTTTATCCACTTTACAGCTGTATACAGGGTTATTTTCGCCCTTTGGAACTTGTGAACAATTTTGCCCCGTTTTAATTCGCCAAGTCATAGTTCTGTTGAAGATGTTGTGAGGTGTTATGTGAATTTGCCCCATTTTAAATTCGTCTGATCGAGGACAGGGCAAAAATTTCCATGTATACAGTAATCCCTATGAAGCGCCCCAGGTATTATGAAATTTAAAAAAGGGCTTTGTTATTTTATGCATTTTCTTTATAATAAATTTACAATACAGAATCACTAAGATTGTCTTGCTTTCCTTTAAAATAGATAGGATAATCCACCCAAATCATGCAAAATGATAAATTTTTCCACCAAGAAATATAGAGAATAGACAAAAACAAATGTTGTTGGTAACTTTCACTTTCAGACATACATAATCATTGGATTGTTCCAAAAATAATTCACTTTAAGGAATACTTATGTACAAGTTATCCAATAGAGAAGATTCAATTTACTTTCTTAAAATTATTTTGGACTTTCTAAATGATTCTAGATATTTATAACGGATGATTAATAGGAATGGAACGGTACTAGTACTTTGGAGAAAAAAAAAACTGTGTGAAATAGCAGAATTTGTGTTTACTGTATCATGATAAAGCTTGTATCAGGTGAAGCTTTTGAGTGATTTTGTTTAAATAAAATTGAGTTTCATAATTTTTTGATACCTCATTTTTTCTTTCATAAGATGCCTGACGCTGCCTATGAAGTAGATCTTTATTCTTTGCTTTTCTGGTGGCCCCTTCCTTTTTAGAAGTAAAATATCGCTTCACAGCAGCTGTAAAAAAAAATCTCATTTCTTAAAAATAATAATGGCAAAATAATTTTTTTGATTACTTCATAAACCCTTTGCTTACTCATATCAAATGATGCTTGAACCTTAATGATTTTCCAAAAGAAATGCATTTTTAAGTAAATACAAACAAGTACAGCATAGCCTGCGAGGCAAATTTGGACAAAAATGACACTTCAACTTGGCAATTTTAGAAAGGAATAATAAACATTTTAATTATATCATATCAGATTATCAAAGACAATTAACTTTTATAATGTTCATGTGAATGACATGTTTTAATGCGAAATTAATGTTACATGTATTCAAATAGATTGATCACAACGCTTACTATCTAAAACTTCATTCGACACATCTGGTGCAACTCCTTTGACACTTTTCTTTATGAAGTCAGTCATTTCGTTGTTTGCTTCATCATTGTATCTTAGAAAAAAAATAAAATCCTTTATAAGTAATGTAGTTAACAATCCACAGATACCAAACAGTGATACAAATTCAAAGATCTTTTTAGCAGTACACTTATTTTTAGCAGAAACTTAAAATGCAAGTAAAATGATAAGAAACCAGCCAATTTGAAATGAAATACAAAACAAGAGATGTTTGTAAAACACTTATGCCCCCTTCCCCAACAAATTGGAATGTTACTAAGTCAAAAAGGGCATAACTCTGTCAAAAATGATGATTTCGTACCCAAAACAAAACTTGACCTAGATATTCATCTGACTAATCTGTATACTTTATTCCATTTCAATATGTGCAACCTCTCCAAAGAAAATGAGTGGAAACTGCAAATTGGAATTTTTTTAAGTTCAAGGGGCATAACTCTGTCAATTATTGTCTGATAGTAACCAAAACAAAACCTGACTTCGATATTCATGTGATATACCTGTATACCAAATTTCATTTCAGTATGTGCAATGGTTATGAAGAAAATGAACGGAAACTAATTGGACCGACCAACAGACAACAGCAAAGCAATATGCCCTCCCTTCTTCGAAGGGGGGCATAAATATACATTTAAAAATAACTCCGGGTAATTCAATTTACTTTCAAGAGGCCAATGGGCTAATCTTGGTCACTTTGGCCCTGCATATGACACTTCATCAGGAGCCCCCCTCCCCCTTAGTAAACCTAAATAGTACAGCCTCCACCCACTACCAGCAAATGACTCCAGGTAAAAATGGGAAACTATTGCTTGGCTGTTCACTTTCAGTGATCTTTTTTTTTCTTATTTATTTTTTTCTTTATTTTTACAAAATACCCAACGTGTTAATACTCTGTGACAACTGAACCCCTGAGGACCATAATTTGAATAATTTAGAATCTAAACACTACACTATTGACTAACTCAAGAATGTTTAAAATGAAGTTATGAATATCATCTTTTATGGGCCTGTGGTTTTTTAGATTTAAAAAAAAATTCATTTTAAATGATACACCTTGATTAAGTTTTGTGACCTAAATTAATTCCTGGGGACATGATCTGAAAAATTTAGAATATGCACTTTCTCCTCAATTTTTATCTCTTCTGGGTCAATTATTCTTGAGAAGAGGGATCTATAATGACATCAAACTTATCTTGTTTACTTCTCCTTCCTAAAGGTCAAGGACCTTTATTTAATTATGGTGAATATTTTACCTAAAGATGCCTTTAAATATTATAATAATTTAAGTGAAATAAGGCCCTGTCTTTTGAGCGTTTTTTTTTAAAAACAAGTCCAAAATGTGAACGTTTATAAACAGCCAGATAGACAGGTGATCAGTAAATTCCCTAAGCTTAAGCTCAGGTGAACTACAAATACTGGTTGGATAACAACAGAATAAAAGTCACAATTTACCTTTTCTTGAAATCCCATTTTAATTCCCTGTCCTCTCCACAAGCGTAAAATTCCTTTACATTATTCTGTGTAAAAATATAATTATGTATAATTTAGGCTAAGCTTAAAAAATTCTATGTTTGCAGTTGCCGACCTATAATTCTTAGACTGGGTAGGTAGGTAGGTAAAGTTTTTCATATGCCTACTATACATGAATAAGCTCCACTCTTGGTATAAACTACTGATTGATAAAGACAAAAATTCACAATGAAACAATTTCAATATCCTGAATATTTTTATAAAAAAAATAATTTTACAAAATGGCTAAAAAAAGTTTGGGTAGGGTGAATTTTAGTGGGTCGGTAGGCAGCTGCAAACAAATAACATTTTATTTTAGGCTTTATTAATTAGAATATGGATCATTCATTTTTATGGTATAATTTATCAATTAAGTTTGTTCATTAATTTCAGTACGATTCATTTTACTTAAATTCATTTACCCTTATTCTGTTTGGTACACTGATGATCTCTTTTGTTTCTTCCTTTCTTTTTTCGAACTCCCTCTTCAGATCCCGTACTTCATTTCTTACCACCTTTATTGTTGAGAGGATTTCTTTTTGAGTTGCTTGCATTTCTTTTAATTGTCCTTGTATACCTATTTTACCAAATTCAAAGATTTAACAGAAAATAGATAAAAACATCTCATTGATATTTGAATCAGAATGTACAAAAACATATCAGGTGTCAATGCATTTTTGGGGGGGGGGGGGGGGGGGTTCCAATGGTAAAATGTCTTTTCCCCATTATCATAAAAGAAAATTTCCCTGAGAAAAACTTAACAAATAGACAAAAATGTCTCAACTCAGTAATATGTGTTAAAAAACTAATAGGTATGCTAAAAAGAAACTGACTGAATAAATGTAAAATATGTCAAGACCTTGCCAATGAAAAAAATTAATTGTACATTTACAAAAGTTATAAATATATTTTTCTAAATATCAACTAAATGTCACTATTTTTCTCAAAGGATAACGTCCATGTCCATAATTTTAAGACCCTAAAAGCCCCCAAGTATCTGTACCAACTCTTAAACAAGAGGCCAATGGACCACATTGCTTTTCTAAGTAAAGTTGGCTATGCTGTTGTTTACCAGACCCCTCCCCCTTGTAATACGAATTAACCTAAACCACAGGGGTCATGATTTGGATATTTAAGAATCTACACTACCCAAATGCAAGTATGCTTCCATGTAATTTTAGCTTTTCTGACCCAGATTCCTTAGTAGTAGATTTTTAAAGATTTTCTCTATACATTAATGTAAAATTATAATATATAAAAGAGCACTGATATATTTATTGAATTTTACCAAAATCATAATCCACATTTTAAAACTAATTAGCAGTTTGGATATTGCTTTATTTAGTTACAGAGATATATTAATCAAGATACAATCTTACCTTTACTTAAGGTACGATTTGGAGTAACTGTTTCTGAGGAGTTTTCAGGCTGAGTAGGTACTTGAGGACCTCTAGGAGTTTTCTGTGCAAAAGAAGATGCATTATATTAACATTTATACTAGCAAATGTTCAATGAAATAAGGCGGTACATATGTAACTATCTGATTAAAATTAGATGTTAGATCCGCTTGCATATTCACTACACTAACAGCTAACAACACCCCATTGAGGGTCACATCAGAGGTCAAATTCGGAACAACTCTAAACTTATTCCCTTCGATTAAGTTAACAAATTTCCGATGATTTTACCAGAGACAATTTGATTGGTTGATAGAATTTGACCTCTGACGTGACCCTCTGTGGGATGTTGTTAGATATTAGGTAGCAAGTATGCGAGTGGAAAACATATTTTTGTCTTGGGAGAAAAAAAACCATACTATTTCTTTTCCAACGCAAGTAACTGGGAAAAAAGCTTTTTTAATATCTAAAATAAGTTTTTGAAAGTGCATGCTTTCTTAAATCAAAATGATCCTAAGAAATTGAATTGATAATGAATTTTAAAAAATTGCACATGGTAGTTATTAATTAATTTTCTTTATACTTATTAAAATAGCCCTTTTAAATTTGACTTGACTTTTAGAAAAAAGCTTTTTATAAGATTCAATTTACATTTATGTTGTCCATATTTCTTTGTGATGCTTCTCTGGATGACTTGCTTGTTTTCTTTCTTGGCGATCTTCTCAAAGCACTGGTGCTAGACATCTAAGACACATACAGACATATCTTATGAAACAATTAATACTGGAGCCAAATCTTCCATAAACATTTAAGGTTTTTGTTAACAATTTATTAACTTTAAAAATAAAAGTATCAAAGAAGTTCTGACATAGTAACTGTATAAGTAATAATTAATTGATAACTTGAGTAATTTTCTTTTTTAAATGAATTTTTTTCTTTTAATTTTTATTTAGGACTTTGGTTTTAGATATGTACTATTCCAACTAATATGACACTTGTTTTTTAATGCATTGCAATATTTCATTTATCAAAGAAAATGCTATGCTGAATGTAATTAAGGCTAAAGTTAATCAAACCAGAAAAGAAATGAGTACATACTGCCCATGGGGGGATTGAGTGTCAGCATCTGTATCATTGTCTGAGTCTTGCAGTATTGCTCTCTCATCACTTTTCTTTTTTCTTGGCGATCTCCTTACAGCAGCCACTCTTGATTTCTAAACATAATTTTCTTTTTAATTGACATAACCTCTTTGCTAATTTCATTTCTGAAGTTAATTCAATTTTTTTTTACATAAACAAAATATTCACTCAATTCAATTATACATATATATTTATTATACCTCTACTGATATAAAAATTATGTAGTAAAATGTGAATAATTCCTTTAAAATCAATCCCCATGCTTTAGTCATATGAATCTCTGCTTTAGAAGCTAATACCTGGTAATCTGTAAATCTCTTGATTTTACTTTTATCGGTACATGTATAATATATAAATGGACTAATTTCCTTGCATTAGTCGAGTAAGCTTATCCCCCACTGAAAGCTAATTCAGTCTTTTGTAAATCTCAAATTTCGAAAAACTTGTGAATTGGTATAACAAAACAGTTAAAAAAGTGTATCAATGAGGGAGTTAGCAAGATTTCAGTTCCCCTCGACCTGGTGTATTTCCATCAGCTGTGCCTTCAGAAATAGTACTGGTCTTGGAGAACTGAAATCTTGCCCACTCCCTCAATGGATTGATAAACTTTCACCCGGTACATTTTTAGTTCATTACCTTGCCAGAAGTTGACGGAGTCTGCTCAGGCTCAGATTCTTTGTTCCTTGAACTCTGTACAAGCTTTTCTTTAGCATTCTTGTAATAAAATGAAAGTAATAAGCTAATGATGTGTTAATAACTTTAATGAAAGCTGTCTCATACTATACTGTACTAGCTTAAAATTTATCAAAAAGCGGGAGGAGGGGGGGGGGGGGGTGTTATTAAAATGAGCCCCAACTTCTCAATAGAAAATAAAGATAAACCAAGGCTGTATTATTTTTGTTGTCTTAACACAAATATACCAAGGTATGAGATCTATGTAAATGAACATTAAAATTAAAAGAATTTAAGAAAAAAAAAAGAAATCAAAACTAATGCAGTGTGACTTTCTATCCCAACCTAGTCGTTTTACATATTTAAAAGAAACGTGCAGTCACGTCACATAGTGTGTACAGTATCAAGAGTTTATATTAACAGTAGCCTTACCAGAATTGAGTCAGATTCCGACGCAGCATCACTTGTTTGGGAGAGGGGCCTTAGGACACGTACACGTCTAAGGGCGCCCGGGCTCCGGTGGCGCTTTTTCTTCTTCACTGGGGTGATTGTCGTGCTATCAATATCACTACAGTCTAGGGACTCGATTTCCGTATCTTCTAACGCTAAATGTAAACTCTCCTGACTCTCGTTATCTTGTTCTGGGCCGCTGTAGTCCATGTTCACACTGGCCATTTTCGCATCTTGCTTTTGAATTCGTGATAGGCCGCATTTATGCCTGAGCGCCCTTTCATCCCGACTTGTGATTGGCTGTCAGCATCTCTCTCCATATTTGGCAGTACCAAACAGGCGTTCGTTTATTGGTTCGCGTTTTTATTTTATTGTTATATTACTGTCAATTTCTTTTCAATACAACCTTTTGTTCAATATTTTAAATAGAAAAGGATTTTTAAAATGTTTTTATTTAAAGTCAGGTGTTTTTATGTGCTTAAATCAAAGTTATCAAAACAGTCACCGATATATCAGCGAATTCAACAACGATTAATTTACTTAGTACGAAAACAAAAAAGCCCGCTCAAACACTAATTGACTAGATTCAAGAACAAAGAACGACGAAGTCTCTGAAAGAAGTTCTTCCATATACATGCATTAAAACCTGAACACTTGTCTACATCAACTGTAAGTAATTTATAAATGTTTTAAATAACTATTTACATATACAGAACATTATATGTACAATATTATTACTGAGTTTATTAGAAGAAGGGGGGGGGGGTCTGGGTCAAACTCTACTTAGACTGTTAGAGTGGGGATTTTTTAATGTGAACTCATATGTATAATTAATTATTAAACTTGAAATGAATCTGTTAATTTGTAAAAATTGAGTTTCAGTAGGCTAATCATGCTAATGGATTGTATTTGCTGGGGGGGGGGGGGGGGGGGGTTGAGAAGGAATGGGTACAAAAATTATTTCAGGATTTCTTTCCAAAAATCCCCACGTCCTTTGAATTTATAAACTGTTGATAATTATGTTGTTAAAATTATGAATGTGTTTATTATTATATCAGTAATGTGGGTCTCATTGTAGAACATTTCAAATAATAATTAATATCACTCAGTCTCATCTGAGTCAGTCAGGGGTGAAACTTAACCTGTCAAACGTGTGAAATCTAACCTATTTGAAAATGATGGAAAAATGTCATTTCTTTTAACTACATAATGTAGTTAATTTCATATTTTCAACACCTTGGCCAGTTAATTCTTTCAACCAATTTTTTACACTTAAGCACTTGGCTAATAAGATATATAGTATACACTATATCATGTCATGGATTCGTGTGAAGAGATTGTCTGAGAAACATCTTGACAAACAATATTGAAACCAAAATAAATTAGTGCACCCAAAAAATACTAATAAAATACTTAAGTTTGCCCAGATCCAGCATTTTAATCAGATAAAAAATAAATGATGAGTTATATTTCTCATTACATGTAGAAGGAACTCTATATTAAAATTAATTCCAAATAATAGTTATGACTGTTTTTTCATCATTATTGTTATGTCTATGCATTCCTGAAATATGTTACATGTACGTTATTGGTTCTTACTGTTATGTGTACGTCTTATTAACAAGTAGTTCCTGCCATACACACATGTTGTCATTACATAATTGTGTTCCAATGCACAAAATTTAATCTTAAATATGATGCATTTTAGTCATTATTACACCATTTTAAAAATATGCATAGATTCTCATTCCCACCTGACCCAATTTTTTAATCTGCCTCGATTTTTTAAATTTCTTTTTTCTTTGTCTTATTTTTGATTGGGATCGGTAAACATTTACATTTTCTTTGGTTTTAAATGAAATCCTGCATATGTCGGCATGATCAAGACAGCTGAAAAAGATGGTAATTGCTATAACTAATATATATTAAACAAGGCCTTAGGGTAATTTGTTGTGAAAAATTAGTGAAGTAATAGATAAATGGACATGTACTATGGCTTTCATTTGGGTATCATGGATTAATCTGCAAAACTGGGGGAAAAAAATGAAATTAAAGCCGCTTGCTCGCCCTGATTAAAAAAAAATTGATGAGAATCTAGGAATTTTTTTTTATTATGGCTTTCAAACTCTATTTTATGACTTACACTAGAAAATCACTATTATTTTTTTTTATAATGATGAATTTGAATTATATTCCCTGATTGAATATGAATTTCAATTAATCAGTTTATGAAAAAAAATCCAAACTTTTTATTGTTTGTTCATTGTATACAAATTTTACTTTAATACATGTACAAATATACATAGAATTATATACCATAAATTATAACCCTCCACCCCCTGCAGTGCTGTTCTGGCAGCAGGATGCAATAAATGCTATGATGTGGATGCCTGAAAAGCTCTGTTTCTCCCCAGTAATTGAGAGCTCTGTTGGATAAAGGAGATAAGGGGTAGAAAGATTGGAGAGACAGAACAATTGCAAAAGTGTTTAGAGTTAAAGAACAATGAAATGATCATCTACTGACATGCTGAGAGACTCATTATAATGAATTAGACAAATACAAGGTCTAGGACAACAAAGTTAATCCCTGCTGGTCTTTATCTTTGCTGTAAAGCTGTTATCTTGTGTGTAAAATGGCCCTGCTGCTATCCAATGCAAAGCCCAGTGTGGTCAAATGTGACACCTCACTGACATCTGCACTTGGCAGTACCTGGATATTTACATCCTTTTTTTCTGGTTAAAATTAATTGCTCAATTTACACATAAACATTAAATAACATCAAATATAAATATATCACTGTTAATCATGCATTCATTTTATTTTCAAGATTTGAAAATCCACCAATGGGCAAAAGATGTAAGAGCAAACAAAATATCAAAGCAAGAAGTAGAAAGAGACGGACTTTAAAAAAGAATCGACGCCACAATGAGAGTCAAAGAATTTCAGCAGCTGAAATTGAAACAAGTGATTTGAGTTCATTAGCATCAGATGATGTCGACGGTATGGCTTTGAACAATCATGGTTTTGAATCAGGTGCATTAATTGTAAATAATTACAGATTACAAAGGCTGAGGGGTTATAATATAATCATTAAGTATGAGGTTAAAATGTATATTCAAATATTTCTTACATCTTTATTGGAAAAACTTTAAGAGGGATGAAAAAATACATTCATAATCAGGGTCCTACACTCATCAAAATTTGGTAATTTGGGCAACCTTGGAACTGAACACAGGTTGTCCGAATGAATATCAGGCTGTCCAAATAAAATATCAAATGAAACAAAACTTAATTTGCAATTATTTAAAATTTGTAATTAATGATTTATTAATTTATGATATTAATGCCACCAAAGTTTTGTACTTTTGCAGGGATGCAGTTATTAAAATCCCATTTGATATCACATAAGTGATGTGTTGCATATTCATTTTAGGTTTTAAAAAAATGGTATGTCTGCCAAATAAGGGATTTTAATATTGGTCATAAATGTAAAAGTTCTAAGTAAAATTTCAATTCTTTAACTTGAACAAAATTATGTTCTTATCATACTACAATTAGATACATTTTTTTTAAGTAGGTTTTATTTTATCAAAAATTTTATTTCATCTGACTTCAAGATTTTTTTTTATGGGGGCGAGCTTTAGCTCGGTGCTCATATAGCTATGGTGAAAATCTCTGTTCACTGCTTTCTTCATGCGCCAAATAATATAAAACTTGAACCAAGGCCTTCATGTTTCTGGCTTTAATAGGAAAATATTTGCCAATTTTTGGCGTTTATTCTATTTAAAAGCACATTCTGAATAGTGTATATGCATGTTAGTCATTAATATCATTTTGAACATGTTTGTCTGGCATCAGACAGTACTAGATTTAGCAAAGGCTTGTGAGACAAGTCGTTCATTAAAATTATTGTGATAACTCATCTTGGAAACTTCATATTATCCTATCTTAACCATGCATGGGGATTAATAGAACCATGCTAAACACCCAAACAAACCAAAGCATTGGACCTAATTATTATCACATTATGCATTACACGTTACATAACATTTGGCCACTCTGATATGCATCACTATCATTCATTTACATCCAGTAGAGCTTTGCAGGTCAATTTTATCAGATTAACTTCAGTAAAAGATGTTTATTTTCAATGCATACAGTCTTTCTCAATTCTGCCTCCAGAATTACACATATTCCTAACTTTGCAGACATTTGATTTAGTCATAATTTAAAAATTTCAAGAGAAAGATGATGATAATTGACATAAATTTTTCTCTGTTTATAATTAGAAAGATGTTATCTCATTTATATAACAAGTAATTACTATGTATCAAAAAAAAGAAATACATATTTCGTAATTCTCCAAACTGTTCACCAAATAATGTTTAGATTTGTAAAATGTGGGATGTAACTTTTTTTTTTAAAACTTAGATAGGAACTGTTTTTTAGTATCTGTTAAAAGGCCAACCATGCAGAAGAAATGTCATGGGAAAGGAATGCACAACCAAAAATTTCTGGGGAAGGGGGGGGGGCACTAACTAGGAATTTTTTTTTTATCAAGCAAATAAGTTAATATAAATATGTTATTGTTTACATGACATTTGGGACACAGGCATAAATTAGTATGTTTTCTATGGCATATAATTATATAATGGCAAAAATGGGGGGGGATACCTCCTCTTCATGTTTCCTACAGCCATATTAAAAAAAAAAAGTTACAAGTATTAAATACAGTATAAGTCTATGTAGAATAAATTCATCTCAAAGTTTTATTTCATGAAGGTACAACTGGACTGAACTTTTTTATTATTATTCACAGAATAATTTATTTTTGGACTCAGAATTATGATCACACGGAATTCAACTTTTCTAAGTTCTTCATATATAATAGGAAATTTTACTCACGTAAGACAAGCTTTTTAAGAAAGCTAATACTTGTTATGATTTACTTGTAGTAAAAATCAGTTGTGCTTTGGCTTAAATAGTCTTGTCGGATGATTAATTCCTCGCACTTCCTTATTGGGGTCGTAACGGCTGTATCCATTTTTAATGCTTTTATTTCATAAATGCTTAAAACTGGGTGTTCTAGATATACAACTAAACTCATAAGATTCTGTAGACATATGCATACATTTAAACATGCTTGAAAATCCAAAAATTCACTGTATCACTGTCATATCTATAGGGCGACTCCATTGTGGTCCTTCAGGCCTTTGAATTTTGT